TTCTGTGAGGCAGGGGATGTATTTGTAAGAGAAACAAGTACTTTTACTGCTATTCGCTTCCTGAGGCTGGTACACTGAGCAGCCTTTGAGCGCCGGCTGGCTCAAGCCACCAGCCCGGCCCCGTTCCCAAGGTCTTAAATGCTTCAAACAAAGGGCAGAGGGCATTGTTCACTCCTGCTATCTTTCTCTACAGCAAACATTGAATTTTCATGCAAGCCACACAGCTTCCGAAAGGCAAGGTGACGCCAGAGCTCCTGGCTGAGGAAAAGGCTGATGGGGAGAGGACGCCAATTCTGAAGGAAGAATTCACAATGGATCTGTTCAAGCAGACTGCCAGTGGCTAGCAAGGCGAGAGGGCCCCCAAATCTGAGTCATCTAAACCTTGCCTAGCTCTGTGCCTACAGAAAGTGCCCAATATTCTTCCAGCAACATCCAGAAAGCCAATACTCAACGTCTTAAAATGAGACATCCTCTTCTCCCCAGTGCTCCTATGTTCCCTGTTTTGTTACGGCATCTTGTATTTAGCATCTTGTAATTTAGCATATTTAGAAAATATGCCTGTTATTTCACCTTGGGAAGCTGGAGAGCCTTAATATCAAAAAGAGTGTATTGGGCTTCCCCAGTGGCTCATTGGTAAAGAATCGGCCTGTCAATGTAGGAGACACAGGTTTGATCCCTGGTCTGGGAAGATCCCATATGCTGTGGGGCAACTAAGCCCATGTGCCACAACTATTGAGCCTGTGCTCTAGAGCCTGGGAGCTGCAACTACTGAAGCCCATGTGCCTAGCACCCGTGCCGTGCAACAAGTCACTGCAACGAGAAGCCCCCACTCGCCACAACTAGAAAACAGCCTATGCAGCAGTGAAGACCCAGCACAGCCAAATATAAATGAGAGAAATAGAAAAGTTCTTTAAAAGAGCATATTTGGGGATGAGGAGGAAAATGGCCCAGCAGGGAGGAGAGGGAAGTGCTCGCTGGACTAGGAATCAGACTCTCCCACCAGCTGAAGAAATGCAATGCAGGGGCCACTGATAAACTGTTCACCTACTGAAACAACAATAAAAGCAACCCTGAAGTCAAGCCTGCCAATTCTATTCTCCTCAATGGGTTGTGGAAGATTTAAATGAGAGAACTGTGCAAACAAAGGTAAAAAATACTATCATCAGTAGCAGTCATAACAATATTATGTACACAAGTGTGGTCAGTACAAATGGTAGTAGTGAGAAGCTGTTACTTGGTAGTGAAAGCAAACCATGGGCAGCTATGGAGACAGATCAGGAAAGGTCTGAGAGTGAAGCAGAGAAATCAGGAGCTATTCCTTGAACCAGGGAAAGAAGTGGGAGATTTCTAAGGATGGTGTCACACAGTGATTGTGCGTGCTTAGTCATTTAGTTGTGTCCGACCCTTTGCGATCATACGGACTGTAGCCCACCAGGCTCCTCTGTGCATGGAATTCTCCAGGAAAGAATACTTGCTATTTGCCTGGAGTGGGTTACTATTTCCTTCTCCAAGGGATCTTCCCAACCCAGGGATTGAAACCAGGTGTCCTGCATTGCAGGCAAATATTTTTACTGTCTGAGCTGCCAGAGTTCTAATGCTGGGAATAGAGTGTAGCTGTTACAAGGATGTGGTGAAACGAGAGGCAGCAGGTGAGTAAAGAAAGCAGGTATCCCACAGCAAAATGCAACAGGCTGACAGGGACAGACCTGGCTCCTGATGAGAGGATGGACCAATGGAAAGCAGAGTTTCTGCTCAGGAGCCCCTGGTCCTGACCCCCAAGTTCAAGACAGTCAAAGGCTAGAGCTTACTTCTTCATACCATGAAAGAGAAATGGTAATTCTATGACCTGTTAGTGCTAACTACTGCTACAATGGCAATCATATTACAATATAGAAATGTATCAAATCAAGATGTCCCACACCTTCAATTTACATGTTATATGTCAGATTAAAAAAAAAATAGACAGCGAGAACTGGAGTCCAGGGGAGGTGGCAATGTCAGTCCTGCAAGGTAACGGGACAATGGTTGCAGCGGCTCTGAGGCCAGCTCACCTGACTTCAAGGCAGGAACCATCACTGAATACAGATGGTTGTCGGCAGGTGTGTGCTCTGACCCTTGCTCTCAACCCCAGTCACATGACACACACAACTGTACACATATATGTGTATATTAACACTCTGTATGTGTGTGTTTCACAGTAAGACTGTAAAGAGTCACTGAAACTCGACTAAAGAGAAAACAACACTGAGGGAGAAAAAGTAGGTCACTGCAAGTTGTTTTACAATAGGATTTGGAAAAAAAATGAATCTGGATTATTTGTGGTCATTCATACTCATTGTATGGGAGTTACTTGTGTCTATGTTCTGGAGGAGAAATGCTAATACAGCAACACATTAGAAAAAACCCAGAGAAAGTGATAGTCTATTCATGTTTTGGGAGATTTGAGTATGAGGTGAAAAAAATACATGTATTTCTCCACATCTGTTTTACTTTTATAGTTAATTTGCCATAATTTGGGCAAAACAATCCGAACAGTATATGTAAGCAGCCTTCGTATATGTGCATTTCTTTAATCTGCCCAGTTAACTATTAAATGAATGCTAAAACTGATTTAAATATGTAAATGTTCTGCCCACGAAGCCCTCTATAGTTTTGTCTGAGTCTGTGGTAAGACTATATACAGGTCTAACCCAGTTACGTATTTACCTAGTTCTGTCGGTAACGAGATTAGAATGGAATGAGAAACCCCATACATCTGCAGTTCTTAGTATTTAAAAAACGTTAAGAACACTGCAAATAATGTAAAACTGCAAATATCTCTTCCTTGAGTGCTGGTGGTATTACAAATAGGAACAACTTTTGACCAAAAGCCATGTGGTAATATGTATCAAAAGCTACAAAACTGTTTCTATCTGGTAATCCCATTCCTGAGAATTTATCCTAAGGGAAAAACTTGAATCAAAGAAAAGAGCTAACTGCATAAAGATGTTCACTGCAGCATTATCTATCTTACCAAAAAGGGGGAACAACCTAAATGTCTATCCATGAAATGACAAGTCATTTAGGAGGAAGAGGCTATTTCTGGGGACATGGATGATGGTGCAGAAAAGGCATTTGGAGCAGTATGCAAAAGAGAATGGACAGGACTGTGCTAACCTACTGACAGACATTAATGAACCTCCAACTTGGTTGTAAGCCTATGGATAGCCAGCATCCAGTCCCTGGAAGAATAGATGAATGTCAAAACTACAATCAGTTCAGTTCAGTTCAGTCGCTCAGTCGTGTTCAACTCTTTGCGACCCCATGAACCGCAGCACGCCAAGCCTCCCTGTCCATCACCAACTCCTGGAGCCTACCCAAACACCTGTCCATCGCATCAGTGATGCCATCCAACCATCTCATCCTCTGTCGTCCCCTTCTCCTCCTGCCCTCAATCTTTCCCAGCATCCAGGTCTTTTCCAATGAGTCAGCTCTTCGCATCAGGTGGCCAAAGTACTGGAGTTGCAGCTTCAACATCAGTCCTTCCAATGAACACCAGGACTGATCTGCTTTAGGATGGACTGGTTGGATCTCCTTGTAGTCCAAGGGACTCCCAAGAGTCTTCAAAAGCATCAATTCTTTGGTGCTCAGCTTCCTTTATAGTCCAACTGTCACATTCATACATGACTACTGGAAAAACCAAAGCCCTGACTAGATGGACCTTTGTTGGCAAAGTAATGTCTCTGCTTTTTAATATGCTGTCTAGGTTGGTCATAACTTTCCTTCCAAGGAGTAAGCAAGTGTCTTTTAATTTTATGGCTGCAATCACCACCTGCAGTGATTTTGGAGCCCCCAAAAATAAAGTCAGCCACTGTTTCTACTGTTTCCCCATCTATTTGCCATGAAGTGATGGGACCAGATGCCATGATTTTAGTTTTCTGAATGTGGAGCTTTAAGCCAACTTCTTCACTCTCCTCTTTCAACTTTCATCAAGAGGCTCTTTAGTTCTTCTTCACTTTCTGCCATAAGGGTGGTGTCATCTGCATGTCTGAGGTTACTGATATTTCTCCTGGCAATCTTGATTCCAGCTTGTGCTTCCTCTAGTCCAGCGTTTCTCATGATGTACTCTGCATATAAGTTAAATAAGCAGGGTGACAATAAACAGCCTTGACGTACTCCTTTTCCTATGTGGAACCAGTCTGTTGTTCTATGTCCAGTTCTAACTGTTGCTTCCTGACCTGCATATAGGTTTCTCAAGAGGCAGGTCAGGTGGTCTGGTATTCCCATCTCTTTAAGAATTTTCCACAGTTTATTGTGATCCAACTGTCAAAGGCTTTGGCATAGTCAATAAAGCAGAAATAGAAGTTTTTCTGGAATTCTTGCTTTTTTGATGATCCAGTGGATGTTGGCAATTTGATCTCTGGTTCCTCTGCCTTTTCTAAAACCAGCTTGAACATCTGGAAGTTCATGGTTCATGTATTGCTGAAGCCTGGCTTGGAGAATTTTGAGCATTATTTTACTAGCGTGTGAGATGAGTGCAGTTGTGCAGTAGTTTGAGCATTCTTTGGCATTTCAATAGGAAAGCTTAAAAAATGATATCTGTGTTAACTGTTTATCAACAGTTACTGAAAAGAAGGTTATGATGACAGAATTAGGGTAGGGAAAAAAGTAAGAGAAACTTACCTACAGAGGTCATTTTCTTTTTTTACAAAGGATGTCTCTGGCTGGAGATTTATTTCCTCCCTAGCTGAATCACTGCAGATTCACTTTCCCACCAACACCCTAGGAGCCCGTGGGGTTCTGGCTGTGGTCACAGACTTCTTTTCCTTCCTGTGCACTGTCCTCTCTCCCCAAACCCACAGTTCCAGAAGCCACTGCCCACAGAGATTTCGAATCTCAAAAATCCCCTACCTACCTGCCTGTGGAAGAGCTAATGTGAGAGACTACAGTTCTGTGGTTTTTCCATTAATTCCCCAAATGCACAAGAATAAATATGTTACTCAAGAAGGTGAATAACTTACAAATTGGAAGCAGCTCCTGACGCTTGGCTCAATGTTACTGCCCCCAAAGGATGCAACTTCACCCAACTGTCTTGGGATTTGAATAGAGTCATGTAGAAGGAGGCCCAGTCTACGCTGGTCACAAAATCCTGTTGAACTGGCCACTTGCTTGAAAAGGTCTACAGGAGGAAGAAGAGAATTCCAGCAATCAAAAAGTGGCATCATGTAGATGCTAGCACAACTAAACCACATACTCAGTTCTAGTACCAATTCTCAAGAGGAGAGATGGATTTCCTACTCGCCCAGATGGGTTGCTTCTACTGTACACTAATCTGCACATTTATTACTTTTATGGATCAAGTTAATCACCACTGTGTATATATAAAGTGTGACAATGTTTAAGTAAACTATAGCCCTGTAAGAAATGAGAATTTACATACAGTTCTGACATGTGACTTTTTCCTAAGCCAGAATGTAATCCTCTGGAAAATAGTTTATATATAGGACATGACCTCCATCATACAATAAATGTTTTAGCATTAAGAGACATAGAGTGGGCCCAAAGAGCTATCCCCTGTGGACATCAGATCCCAAAATATATCAAAATCGGGACCACACAGCGACTGAATGATAGCAGGTGCCCCAAATAGGTGGATTCACAGAATGAATGAATGCACTGAACACTTGCAACAGCTTTTGATCTCAGAAATCTAATTATTTTCATCCTATCTTGTATTGAAATAAAAGTTGCCAAGAAAGTCAATCCATGAAAGCTTTCCCTACTCATATGCACACTTTAAACTCTCAGAAATTCAATGTTTGAATGGGATATTTATTTCAGATGGCAGTGACAACACTTGAGATCTCCCACAAGCCCAGCTCTCCAGTACATCCACAAAATTTCAAAATTATGAATTACCTTCAAACATCCCAGTTTGAAGTTAATATTTTTGTTTGGCCAACCTCAAACCTGTTCCCTCTTAGTATAATAGTTGAAACACAGGCTAGAAGCTTTCTTGGTTTATCAAGTAAGTATTATGATGTGCTGGTACTTTACCATTAGCAAGCTTAGAGTAAAAGCTAACCTACAACAAATAGCTACAATATTTAAAGGACGAAAGCCCACAGAAATATTCTGTTTCATCCAAAACATATTTTCAAACAGCTAACGAAAGCTGTTCTTTTTTCTTGGGTTCTTAGGATGAGAAAAACTCAAGTGGAAACTACATAAAAGTGGGAGCTAAAAGAGCTTGTGTATTTTGTGGTTTACTCCTGGGGGGAAGTGAGCAGTAGGACACAGAATGGCTTTGTAGGAATTCAATCTCTTTTATCTTCTGCCTATCCTTAAGCTCAGCACATCTCCACATCCCTGTGGGGCTAGGCCTTAGGGGAAAAGAGAAAAGACAAGATATACTAGGTTTGTTTAATATTCCTACCGAAAAGATTTCTCATGAGCATTTAAAGGGGAAAAACAAGTACATGCCTTCACAATGGGAAAGAACGGTTGCTTCGTCACCTCAACCATCCCTCCGCTAGCATTTGCTTTTAATTTGGATTTACAAATTTTATGCAGAAGAGCCCAACGGCTAATCAAAGGAAATTCTGTAAGGTGATATTTACCCTGTAAGAAATGGCAAGCTGTCTCTCAAATAATAAAACGTTAATCACATCATAGAATTGGATATGTCAGTAAAATTTGCAGTAAGATGATTATAAAATAAACAAGGTTTGTTGAACATGAATGCCAGATAGTACTCTTTAAATAAGAATCCAAAGATAAGGCATGTGCATGGATTAAACCTTCACATTTATTTTTTCTGACTTAGACAAAGGGGTTAGGAAATCAGACTTTATCCCCAAGGAACATGTGTTTTATTCAGACACAGTTGATGTAATGTAAAATAATACTCATACTGGAGAAGCTAATCCTCGTTCTCTACTTAAATACCTACAATTTCATGTCTGACAGAGAACGGCACAAACCAAATTTTATGCCTGTCTAAGAGTAGTTTTACATCTTAAACGAGGAACCTGCTGTCAACGAAGAACACTGTGTCACTCCCCATCTAGAACTGGGGTAATTAGCCAACATTAATAAAAGGGTACACATGACTTACATCTGTACTTGTCTTCCAAATGCGCTTTACACAGAGAAATGATGCCAGTTTTAAAAGACAGGACCCGGATCCTCCCTGTTCGTCCCCTATTATGAATAATCAAAGCAGAAAACAATTACTGAGACTTTCTTGAAAGATAAACGCTTCTTAGTTAAGGGGAAAAAAACTTGGATGTGGGAACTCTATTGACCATTGTTTTATTAAGATCATTAACATTTCTGAGTTCATTATCTATTTGGCTGATGAACTAGAATGAAATGGAAATCTGACCAACTTGACCAGTGAACATTTACCAAGTTTTCAGTTTCTAAAAGACCTTACTTGAATGGCAAGCATTTCTCTACATAAAAATAAGAAAAAGATTCTTTTATTTATCTTCGGAGAACCACCTGGGTTTAAGTAGATAAGGGGAAGAATTACTAGTATGTGCTAAGCAATTTACCCACTTTGGTTACTGAAGCCAAAAAATTACCAGCAACTAACTGCTCTGCCCTCTTCAACACTCATTTAGCTTTTCATCAGATTGCCTCTTACTGAGAGGAAAATTAGTCACTTCAGGCCACAAGACACATAGTATAAAATACGAACATTTATCTCTACAAGAAGAAATATGATACAATCTATTAGAGGGCATTGGAACAGATGATCTTAAGGAGCAATTTAAAAATATCCTATTGCTATAACAATGTTTTAACATACATATGATTTTACTTTACATACAAACTATTCTACATGACAAATTTATTAACAAGTTCATTGTATCCATGGGGAACACACAAGTTTTTCATTTTGTAAAATCTGTCTTTTGATCATTTGCAGCTTTTATTTTGTTAAGAAAAACAACTGAACCATATATCTTGGTTCAAAAAAAAGTCTGTAGAATAACTGCAAAGGATAGGTCTAAAGAGTGGTTACTTTTAGTGAACAATATGCTCAGCTTGCAACTGGTACAATTTACTAAATACATTAGTCAAACAGAAATCCTGGGTCCTAATACATTCACGAAAAAGTATTATCACTGGAAAGTTTTTACCATTTTCCCTCTTTAAAAAGGCAAATCAAAAGTTTCACAAATTTTATACAGTAACTCAGGTCTTCAAGGAGTTAACATTGTCCCCAAATAATTTTCAGGCATAGAGAAGGGAAGTCATATACTCAGAATTCATTTGTACATCATCTGCAAAGAAAATGGGTGCTGAAATATATTTGAGGGAAGACCTGAATAGAAACCCTTCTCAAAGCAAATGTAAGTATAATCTGCAATTAAAATCCGACATGATCAAGGGCTTGGTAGATAATGCTGAGAATTCAATAGCCTTGGAATTTAACAAGCACTATCTTAGTAAAATAACAAAGGAAAAAAAAGTATACATTTTAATCCAGGAGGTGGTAGAAATCTACAGCAAAGGCAAAACTAAAATAGTTGCTATGCGACTCCTTTCAGAAAAGCTTCCCAGATTTCTAAATGCAGAATATGTTCTTGCTGACATGTGAAATCAGGCATATAATAAGTTTGATGTCTAAGAAGAATTCAGTTGAAATTAAGACCAATTCCTGCTGCTACCTTCCTCAGTTGTCTTCATTAAGCTCAAGACAAAACTGGGGGGGGGGGAGGCAATCCCAAAGATAAAAACAAGCACTCTCTCAGATAGAGGCATGAATGGAGGTGCCAAACTAAAAGTTCGTCAATTCTGATTTATAAAAAAACAAAACAAAAACAAACAGAATTCCTCCATTTGAGGATCTAAATTTGCTGCATTAAGGGCTTGTTTTCATTTTTCTTTTTGCATAACCATTCACACTCCTCTGCAAAAATCTCTTGAGTATCAGCTAACACCATTTGGAGCTGGGGACAGGAGTGTCACACCTCCAGGAGTGCATCTCTTTGGGTAGAAGGAGCTGCACCCGAAGAGGGTGGAGGAATTCAAGATACGCAGGCTAGCAAGGGCAAGAACCAACGGCTACACACTGACTCATCCTACTACTGGAAAAATGAGTATCTTGGGGTTTTGTCTGCTTTCTAATCTGAGTGCTATCTACATCCTAGTTCTTTACCTCCCAGCATATCAAAACATTTTTTTTTTTGGTTCCATTAAATGCAAAAATGATTAATCACAGGGATAGCATTTGGTCACACGGCTTCATGAAACTTTCATCCTGAGGACCATATTTCGAGACCAAAGCCCTGCTGTGATGCTAATTACACCGTCACTGTTCTGTAAACTAGGCCTCCCGTGGTAGAGTCTGAAGAAAGCCTGCCATACGTACGTATCATAAACATTCAACAGCCAATTGAGACACATATCCACGCAGAGAGGGACGTTGACCAGATTGTTGTGCTCTTGCTCCAGGCGGTCATAAATAGTGGTCAAACAGTTAATGATCTGCAGGATGTCCATGGGCTGGTCGTTTTGCTTGAGGTTGTGCTGGTCCAAGGCATCACATGCGGCTGACAGGCTCAAAAGATCCACTGCAAGAGCCACAGAACATCACCGGTCATTTCAAGGGGAAAACCCTTCTGTTTCTGTTTCTGACAATCCTAGTAGGATGGTCTTATAACCTTTAGTAAACACCAAACCTGAACCCTACCCTCTCTTATTGAAGTGTCTTCTCCCATCCCTTGGCTATGAGTTTGATGAGTAAGGTAAAGAATCCAGCTGCAATGCAAGAGACCCTGGATAGATCCCTGGGTCAGGAAGATCCCCTGGAGAAGGGAAAGCCTACCTACTCCAGTATTCTGGCCTGGAGAATTCCATGGGTGGTATAGTCCATGGGGTCGCAGGGTCGGACACGACTGAGCAACTTTCACTTATTCACTTATTCACAAGCTCAGAGGTTGTTCTGAAGTCTCACTGGCAATGGGTGAAGAAGTGAGTGAAGAGACAGTACCTATGTTGGAACTATTGGGTAATCTGGGGGAGTTAAAGGGACCCATAGTGTTCTGTAGGAACACAGTCATTTCCACCCAAATCACAGGGGGGAATAAAACTGTTTTACTAGAGATGTTCAAAGGTTCCTAACAGTACTTTCTTGTATTAGTATCAGAGAAGGTCAGTTTGATTAATCTGTATGGTTAGGGTTGTGTAAACTCGATTTCCAGCTATGCATTTATAATCATTAACTATTTTTCTCCTTGAAATATCAGTCACCTCCTAATCTCTCTTGATACTTTAACACTAGGTGAAAAAATACTCAACTTCACTAAAATCTTCTATAGACAAACTAAAATAACTGCATCACCCATCCAGTTTTCAGATCTAAGGCTCACTTACTTCTCCTTTCACCTACTGTGTATTTCATGCAGGAGATGTGTGAAATTTGATTCCTGGGTTGGGAAGATCCCCTGGAGAAGGAAATGGCAACCCATTCCAGTATTCTTGCCTGGAGAATTCCATGGACAGAGAAGCCTGTTGGGCTACAGTCCATGGTGTTGCAAGGAGTTGGACATGACTGAAGCAACTGAGCACAGCACAGCACAAGAACTTTGTAAGTCTGGTGGGGAATGGGAGGTTTCCATGATCTAAGATGGTATTTAATGGTATACTGAAAGACAAACATGTATCAAAAGTGAAACCTCAACCTTGTCCAACATCAGCAAATCATAAGCTTTACTCTGAAGGGTCCCAGGAAGATGTTTTTCTCTGAAGTCAATTTATTAGCCAAATTGAGAATGCAACAGCATTGCTTTTATGACACTTTATACATCTAAGCTCTGGTCTACATTCTCAGTCCTCTGAGAGAGAAAGAGAGAGTCAATGGTAATTAAGTTAATTTCTCATGCACCCTGGGGGAGGAGGCAAGAAAATTCTAAATGTAACTTCAGATAAACACAGTCATGCCCCGCACTAAACAGATGCAAATTTAAGGCTTTAATGCATTTTCCTAGTTATTGTTTGTGGCTAGTTCTAATTAAATGTTAAGGACAAAACCCCAAAATAGTGGTTAATACCTGTGTAGGTTAATACCTATGTACTGCATGTTTTTCTTTTTTCAAAAAGGAAAATAGTACCCTTTTGAAGTTTCCCTGGAAGCATGAAGAGACCCCATGGTGGATGCAAGTGTTTGTTTGTTTGTTTACTTTGTCTTTCATCCCAGTGAGTAAAGCCCTCTATGTCCATGGACCAGTCTCCCTACAATACCCTGACGGAGCACTCATCCTATCAAATCAAAGCTCCCCACTCTTCTGCTTAAAAATACTCTCAAGATAAAGGAATGACCTCTTTGCATGGAAGCTGAGACTGTGTTTCAAGTGGCAGAAAGGAACATAACTTGATTTGAAAGGGAGGGAGGTAGGAAAAAGAAAAAAAAAAGATTAAAAAAAATAACAATACAAGGAGGTAGGGGGACAAGAGGAGGGGAAGGCTGAGTGGGGACTGTATGGCAGACCAGAGGGAGATGCAGAAACAAAGGACACCAACTTTCATCCTCTCTGCTATGTGCGTGATTTCCTCTCAGGACGGGTTTTCAGGTACGTATGTACATAATCAGCACACCATTTTCATCAGCAGAAGAGAAGACCAGACTTCCTCCAAATACCAATACTCCCAACATGTTTCTTTGTATATTGAGGGAAGCAGTGGGTGGTTCAAAGTTTTTCTACTGTTTTTTTTTTTGTTGTTGTTACTTTTCCTTAATCATGATAGATATTTTGCTTTATATCCATGGATATAAGAGCTAACAAGTGAGAATCTGTAAGACTCACTTTGGTATGAAGAATCTAATTTCCCTGTGTGATGGACACAAACAACCAACAGCAAAATGGCATTTCTTTTCTTTTTATGGGGCCTAGTCTCCTCTCTGTACAGGTGAACGGGTAACACACAGAATAGGAAATTAGGAGCATCGATAGCTCCAGAGAGGTGCAAAGCAACTGCTCTGAAATCATAGGAGTAGGAGATGACATAGTTGGGAAGAGAAATACTGTGCAGTGCACTCTGCTAAAACCAAATGTCGTTAAACAGGAGAATGATCCATCACAGAAGACTGGAGAACACATTTGCCTAAAATTAACATATCAAACAGAACTCCACTTTCACGGAATAATTGGTAAAAGACTCCTATTGAGGTATATAGAGCCGATACCATGGACTTGCAAAGACGTGAGAAAATCAATAGGGGCAATGTAATTGCCACACAAACATATACTTAACTGTGCAAAATGAGCATCTTGGAGAACACACTGGCATTTTTTGATGAAACATTAAACATAATGATTAGTTGTTTCCAGAAGCCTCAACAAGCAACCAGCAGCCACAATTCTGTGAAACTATCCTATTACCTCAAGCTAGGAATTTCCATTTAGGGGAAGAATATATCTTCTTTAGTGTATTCACTAGGGAATATATTTTAAAGCTATAAAAAAAAATCCAAGTATGTTCTAATACACCTTTTCTTTCAAAAATTATTTTGACGGTAGAGGATGTTAAAGGTTTGGATGCCAGTGAAGCATAGGGACCATCTGGGGGTGACAGAGGGGGCAAGACAAAAAATGACCAGCTCTCCAGGGCTCTCTTTGCTAAGCAAGAAAAGTAGAAAACGAAGGGGATGGGGTGGGTGGTGTCTCAAGCACAGGATCCCATGAATGGTTCCCAAGGTGCTGCGTGGGCCTGATCACCTGGCTCAGAAGGTAAAGAATCTGCCAGCAGTGCAGCAGATCCAAGTTCAATCCCTGGGTTGGGAAGATCCCCTGGAGGAGGGCATGGCAACCCACTCTAGTATTCTTGCCTGAAGAATCCCATGGACAGAGGAGCCTGGCGGGCTATAGTCCATGGGATCCCAAAGAGTCGAACATGACTGAATGACTAACGCTTTCACTTTTTCACTCTCTTAACATCCTAGGCTTAAATGTCCACACCATTTTTTTCTATATATGCCACAAGTGAGGAGTTCTGCTGGATTTTTTTTTTTGTCTTGTACAGAATCTTCAGTGTTGTGAACTAGAAAGCCCCTTTCAGAAGCATTTGCAGTTGGGGAAAATTGAGACCAGAGAGGAGACTTGCTCTGGGTATTATGGCACAACAGGTGGGGGCATGTACTGAAAAGAAGAAAGGTGGGTGGCAGAGGTAATCCTTCCAGATTGTACAGGAAAAAAAAAACTACCCTCCCTTCTCTACTAGCAATAATATGGGGAGGAAAAAAAGCACCAAAATGTTGGTCAGAGTAAGTCTGGTGGTGCCCACACAAACATAACCCTGGGCTCGTCCTGTGGGTCAACCTGGATACCCTGTGTTAGCATATCAACAATCCTGTAACCTCAGTAGTACAGACACAGACAGGGTGGGTAACTCCTACGTGTCTGCTGCCTTTCTGGCCCGGGCAGAAGGTGTCTGTGGGAAGAGGAGGCTGTGTGGACTTCACATCTTTCCACAGGTGGCTTACCCTTCAGGCTGAAGGATTTCTCAAAAGTATCTCTGCCGAGCGAGAAAGTCAATGTGCTTTGATGTAGTTATCTTTGCTGCGAGGGTTAATTCCAGAGACTCTGAGGTTGGCAAGGCCTGTTTTGCTAAAACCAGCCACATAATGCGGAGCCTTGATCAAAGCAGTAAAAAGAAGTGACTCACTGTGTTTATGGGTAGCCATGGGTTACAGGTTATCACAGTTGTATACTGCTAGCAGTAACATTAGCCATTTTTACCTGGTCTCAGTGAGGCCCATGGAGGCCACTGGGTTTGGGACTGGCTATGTAGGGAGCGAAGGCAGAATGGCAAAGAACTGATGCCTCCGAATTGTGGTGTTGGAAAAGGCTTCTGAGAGTCCCCTGGACAGTAAGGAGACCAAACCAGTCAATCTTAAGGGAGATCAACCCTGAATAGTCACTGGAAGGACTGATGCTGAAGCTGAAGCTCTGGTATTTTTCTCACCTGGTGTGAACAGATGACTCATTGGAAAAGCCCATGATGCTGGGAAAGATTCAGGGCAGGACAAGAGGGTGTCAGAGGATGAGATGGCTGGATGGCATCACTGATGCAATGAACATGAACTTGGGCAAACTCCAGGAGGGCCTGGTATGCTGCAGTCTCTGGGGTCGCAAAGAGTCAGACACGACTGGGAGACTGAACAACAACAAATATAGGGAGAAGATATCCAGGGCACCAGCAGTTATAAGCAATCCTGGCTGAGACTCTGATGGGTGAGCCCTGGTTTCTAAAGTGTTCTGTGCTCACACTGGTGGTTCCCGATCCAAGAGAGAATGTGCACCCTGTTCTGGCCCTGACAGAGAGAGGGCACTTGGAGCTCGGACTTGGCCTCTGCAGATCCCACCCTGTGGTTGTGATGCATGGCCCTCTTTTAATGTTTTTGGTACATGGTAGGCTTCTCCTTTCTCCTGTAATGAACTGTAGATTTGTAAGGACTCTCATTTTGAGTCCTCATCAGCTCTTGAGCTTACCTGTCATGACCAGAGCAATTAGTGCAAGAACTGAGATGGTTTAGAAGGCTCCAACTCATTCTTAGCTGAAAATATGGGGGAAG